CTACCAGAAAGCAGCAACAACAGAGTCATTCTCCGCAGTGAGGCCAAAAAGGTTTTGCTACAACTCCCATTTTGAGGAGGTGATAAAACCACATCTGTTAGTATCATCTGGGATAACGATCCCTGTAACAACAGGAAGAAAGGAGCTATGATATAAGGTGAATATACCGCTGTTCTTTGATTCACTCAGCAGCATAACACAAAGAAGCAGCAGCTCTTTCCAAGAAAGCTAGATCCAGAAAACAGGGTCCATGAACGAGTGTTGTCCAAGGCACTGAATAACATGAACAGAAACAGTTTAAGTATACTCCTCTGAGTCAACACATACAAACTGACCTTTATCTCTCCCTAAGTACTTAGGAAAAAACCTTCTGTGTGATTCTGAACTAGGCTGCTGACTAAATTAGGTTTAGGAGAAAGATCATAAAATTTTGACTTGCTTCTTCACCGCAGATATAATAAGGACCCAGCAACCAAGTCACTGGGGAGGCATCTTTTTCGTGATCAGAGCAACTTGAGCTTTACTCCTTGATTTGCCTTGGCAACAAGAATTCTTGCACCAGTGAGAATTTCCCACAGCTGATCGAAAAGAAAGAAGTTAATTTCAGGCTGTGCAGAAGAAGTGCTTAATAGCTACCGTTAGCTACTAAACTTAGCTTAGCTAACACAACTGAAAGGTATGAGCGTCCTCCCTCAACGGACTCATGTTTTTGAATCTCCTCTCCACGTATCAAATTAGAAAGGGTCAAAAGCATGAAATTGTTCCTGGGACCGTGCACTGGTTAGAAGTGTTCAAATAATTTTATGTTTCAGCAACCCTGATCTAAGCTATGCTTCTTCATTAACGGTAACTAGCTTCAACATACAGGCCAGCCTGATGCAAGCTTTCTCCTTAATCATTTTTAGGATCAATCTTGACCCTACAAGAGTGAAAAGAACTAATCTTTGCTTAAACCCAAAGTAATAGTTAAACTTTGGGATTAACAAAAATACTTTCAGTAATACCGGCAATCTTCCCTACTCTATACAGACCCATTAATATGACCAGCTGGGAGAAAGCTATTACTTCTAACTCTTTACCTAGTTCAAGGATAATTTTTTTGAGACACAATGGACAAATTACAGGACTTCCAGGCCACAGGAAATTCATGATCTGACATCTCAGTCTGCTTCTGTGATAAATTCTAGAAATCAAGGAATCTATAAACTGTTGACATTACAAATAAATTATCTGCCAGTCAAGCTGTAGTGGGATACTCAGTAGCATCTCCATCTTTCTATGCCTACAGAGAAAGGCAAACATAGTAAGATTATGAAAAAGTCTTTGTAAGAGGGGACTTAACAGAAGATTATTCTCTCTTCATTTAAAATATGGTGAACTGGGTTCAGATAGCTCATTTAATTCTGTGATCAATGGCCCCTCAAGACAGGATAAGCCAATCCAAGACACGTATTCAGCCTGACCTGAGCCAGCGCATAGGTATGGGGAATATAAAAATACTCCTGAAAACTGTTTTCTAGAAAGTTTGAAACACTAATGGAAAAAAGTGTGTGCAAATCTATAGCAGAAATGCACACAATGCCTGCAATAAAATTTAGCTCCTGTATTTTAATAGGTTTATCTTGTCTGTATTTGTGTAGAGTTTACAGTAAGAGCATGTTTACAGAGAAAACAGAAAAACGTAGCACAAAATGGGGGCGGTGGTGACAAAAGCAAGACAGCTATGAGCAAGACTCCATATACTCCACTATTCAAAAGACCTCAACTTCTGGCGCTATGTACTTTTAAGCTATTCACAAGAAACCCTTAGCCAGCACAAATATTAAATAAGTTAGTTAATAGCTAGTTAACTTCTAATTATTACTTTTATTAATACCAAGTCATCTCTGAAGGTGCAATTATATATTTGACAGACTCCCTGGATAAAAAGGAAATCTACTATTGATAATACTGACTATCTACGGTCCCCAGAGATAAAGCTATCATTACTCAACACAGGTGGTGAGAACACACAGAGTCAGGTGTAAAAGCTCCATCTTTCCAGATCCCAGTCTGCAATTTGCTGTTGTGGCTCTCCTACCTTTACTCACAGGAACTGATAATGAAGTTACAAGATAAAAATTAGAGGACCTTGTGTTATGGGTGTCTCTAGTACAGGATGTTGCACTAAAAATTAATTGCAGCTTGGGACACATGGAATTCCGCTCAGTACTTGTAACTTCACAAGATGGATGCCTGTTTTCATAACCGTCCTTCTGCAATCCTAAGCAATCCTTCCCACATAACATGCTTCACATCCTTGAAGTGACAGAAGTTTGCCAAGGACCTGAGACTCAACAGTCCAACTTCTAGCACTCGCATACCTCTAGTCATGCTGTTACAAGCAGGCTAAAGCAGCTCTAATGAGCCAGAAGAGCCCCAGCACCTAGGGGGCAGCAGGAAAAAGAAAAAAAAAAAAAGTTCTTTCCTTAAGGTGATCCCCCTTGAGGTGAAAGCAGTACTGAAAGGTAGCTGCAGCCAAGTTGTAGGAAAGAAGATAAAATGTCAGATTCCTGGCTGTACAAAATGGCAGTTGAATCCTGGCAAAACGCCAAGTTGTTCCAATAGTGAATTGTGAAGTACACACAAGGCCATAATTATGATTAGCATAAGCAGAGAATGGTACAACAGCTACCTAGTTACTCTGAAAGGTCACAAAGAAATTAGAACAAAGCTAAGTTCTAAGGAGGGACACAAAAGAAAACAATGATGTAGCTCAGTGGTTTCTACCAGGAGCTTCTTCCATGCATGAAGTGTGGCCTGGAGATTACAAAGACTGTTTGAGAGACCAGGCTCTGAGTCAAAAATGGCTAGCAACACTAGCAAAACTCACACTTCTCCTTAACATATAAAAGATCATATGAAAAATGTGACTCTAGGGTACAGAGGATCTTACAAGAAAAATGTGACAGTGGGGTAGAGAGGATCTTACAAAAAAATAGGCTGTTTATGTATATTTGAATAAAACCTGGGCTTGACACAATCGGTCAAGATTTCTTCCTTTCTAACTAGATAAGACCACTTATCTCGTCTCCTCAATCGAAGCAAAAAAGAAGAGATGAAAATATGAGAAAGTTTAACAAGCTAAACCTGAATATTCAGATTATTTGCATCTTTTCATTTTGAATGTCATACAAACAACATGTACAGAACCATTCATTCATGCAATTAGCCAGTTGTCTGGGTGAAATTAATCAGAGCTGTAATAAAAGTATGAGACATTATCATCACGTTTCAGATCTAAAGCTATATGGCCATGAATGCAGATTTCTATATTTCAACGTACTTTGTCCGTCTGCAAGAATTTAAAGACGGAGGTGAAGCCTGAACTCAAAAGTCCTTTGCAAATAGAAGGGTCAAAATTGTCATTGAAATCTGAATTACACAGAAGACACTGACTAAGAAACTTCATGGAAAAGAATACCCTCATTTAGTAGAAACAATCCAGTTGCCTATGCACAGAAATTTTACTCTTTACACACTATTGCCTCCTTTTCAGATTATGCTTCTTCTGGTTCTCCTACTAATCTTTTCCATTACCACAGATATCAAGAACCCTGCATATATAGAACATACTTCACCCAGGGCAAGGTCAACCCTTCCCACAAAACACAGCTATATGCAGTATCCTGTGTCACTCGCCACAACCTAAGTAACAAGTTAATACTGCCATTAAGAGTCTTCATCTCATTTGTTATCGCATGGTGTCAAGTAGAACGGCTCCTAAATCTGCAACACCAGCTAGGGAACTGCCTTTTGGATTTTAGAAGTTAATGCAGTTGGACTTGTAAAAACCCCAGCACACCCCAGCTTTTAAACATCATTTTCCCCTAAAATTCACAAAGCTGTAATTTTTTCCTTTCTTTAGGGGGGGGAAAAAAAAAAAAAAACCTTGACATCAGTCTTTTCAACTGACTTATTTCTAAGCACCTCTCTCTGCACACACAGGAATGAAAACCACCCTTAGAAAGTAGTAAACTTACGGCCTTCAACCATAGGCATCCCCATAAGGGAGATCATATTCTTCTTCTCAGACACCAAAATACTTCTGCTGTCATAAATCTTTCCTGACAGAAATATCTGAGACATATGCTTTTAAATTATGTTTTTTCTAGCCTAATCATGGTTTTGCTATATATACACCAAAAGACCATAATATGCATGGGTGCAAGCTTAGCTCAGGGACATTTGCCTAAGGGTCACATCTCAGTTCTCACTTACAGAGCTCATTCTAAAGCACTGTAACACCTAGCTGAAACAATTTATCCTGTAGAAGTTCACCATCAGTGACACATTTCAGAACAACAAAATCAGTTAAGCATGCGTAGATTTTCCCAGTTAGGATTGCGGCTTATTAAAATTTTCATCTTCTTTTTAACAAACCTTATATTTTAGGTAAGAACATGCATTTATTCCCAGCGATAGCTGTGTATCCAATGCAACTCTTATACACACTTACGAAGAAAAATGAGAATGAGTATCTCCCCTGGTACCTCCACATAGATGACTACATACACAACAGCGAGGGGAAGAGGATACACTACTGTTATTACTAGAATTAAAGACTTGAGAGAACTGGGACATATTCTACTTGGCTTTTCAAATGCAGATCCTAAAATGCTGACTTGCAGTGAACCTTAGTTCTGGATTGTGCTACTCTTCTCATTTAAATGCATTACAATCACAAAAAATATGTCAGCAAGTAGTGGAAAGCAGGATCTTTGCTTTTTTTAAAAAAATGTGCTTTGGTAATAATGAAAAAAACCCTCGCAACTGGCTGTTCTATATAAAAATCTCTAACGGTTTTTAATGAAAGGAAAAAAACAGTCATTTCTGTAATTTCCATCTCACCCATCTTGTAACTTAGGAAAAGAAATAACGCAAACTAATGAATTGTCAGACTGAAATGTTCAAACTAGCAATCCTGACTTGCTCATTTAAACAAAAGACAAGTCACTTACAGAACTGGATGAACAATCAGCTCTGGACTATATGACTTAATTACAGTTGCTGCGTCTTTGGTACAAAACACGTGGGATAAATCTGCACCCTAAAAAAGAAAATTTGCAAACAGAATTAAGAAACTTATACTTAATAATGACATAAATAATTCCAAAGTTTATTCACTGAACAGCTGAATTCCTATTTGCTAGTACTTAAAGTAAATTTAATTGCTTTTTCCATTTTGGCTTAGCCTGCCATACAATAGTTTGGGGAAAATTAAAAGCATTTTCTCTATCTAACTTTCAACATAAACCTCCTCTTTTTTTTCTTTTTTTACTGATAGGATGACTTAAGATGCAGATCTTGAGCCATTTACTCGCTAGAGAAATATTTCTCACAGATGAGCAAAGACGAAAAGTATCACACAAAGAAAAAAGACAAAAGAACACAGCTGAAAAAGACACAAGCTACATTAGAGAGCAAAAATAATACCGTAATATATTTGTAAAACACAGATATGACAATCTGTGACGATTTTCCCAGTCCCACCAGTTTTACTCTTTGGGTCAAATCGGTACCAGATGAAGGCTGGCACAATTTAACCAACCCCCCTTCAGTTAAATAAACATTAGAGCTGAGGAGTTTAGCTAAAAGAGTTCCTTACCAATCCCGAAAATCACAAATACACACAAAATTATATAAGCAGAGATTAGAAAGGCTGATCTTGTATCTGTATTACATGCTGAAATTTCCCAAGGTTAAGGAAAGTGTCTCCTCTGCTTTATTACTATACATTTAGCATTTCAAATTACTACACAATTCAGAGATTTGACCCTGTAACTCTTTATGTGAAGATGCAATGGGCAAAGACCAAGCAACTTCAGGGCGGGATGTACCTAGTGCACTATTATATTTGCGTATAGTGAATAAAAAATGGAGTGGTCTTAGTATCTTATAAGATTATTAAATTATCTTCTTCCAGTTTTAAATCCCCGAGGGGCTTCATCTGGAGGTGCAAAATTTCTTGAGGGGAAAAAAGAAGAAATCAGGGGAGAAGGGAAGGAGGGAAGGAGGTACCTGGATTGGTTACCTACCGATTGAAACAAACCTTCAAAATGGGAAACATACCTAATGAACAAAAAGTACTGATACACATAGAGAGTGCCTGTAGTAAGACTCATTTACATTTGAATAATCATAACTGTATTTAGTTCTGCTATTAAAGATGGGGTTGTAGCATGCACTAACTGTATTTTTAGCCACTGAACGTATCACTAAGATAAGGAAGTTTACACTTCTGGGGGAAAAAAACCCTCGGAAAATACTTCTGCTAAAAATTATAATGTAAACAAAGTATGTTATTAAATAATTATGTTGAAGTCAACAAACAATTTTTAAATTTATGGCACGTAAGAATTTTACTAGCCTAAAACTGTAAGTTTGGAAGGAAATTAATTCATTTGATGTACTTACCAGGTGCAGAAAAACTATTCTGAAAAACTGACTGCAGCCCTGAAAACGTAACTTTAAACATTAATCTAAAATTATTGTATTGTTTACTTTTGGAGAAAATATTTCATCAAGTTTTGAAATTTCTCATCCAAGCCTCTGATTAGACAGCTTTCCCTCCGAAATTTTCCATTTTTTGACATAATCGTATCTCTAACTTTACCTTAGTAAAGTATTTACAGAAAACAGAACACGTACCACTTTGAGAGCTGTAATTGCAGCAAAATACGGTGCTCCTGTGTACCTAGAATGAAATACAATTTAGGTTAGGAAACAGAGTCATAAGGTTAGCTAATTTGGAAGTCAGTCTGCCATAATGAAGTGTGAAATTAAAGAGCAGATTAAAAAAGGCTTTTTCTTTTGTTTGCTTTAAAAGTCAGATAAAATACTGCTACGCTGAAACCAATCGCAAACCTTGGCTTGATTTCAAAGGAGCCAGGATCTCAACTTAGCCACCTGATCCCTCGATAGAAATATTTATAAAGATCATGCCATGTCTTCTCAGACAACCAACTTAGAAGTTTGGAAACAAACAAAACAAAACAAAACAATAGGTTGAGCACCGTTTGCAAGCCAAGTCTGCGATCCATGACCTGGAACAATCCCATCTGGTTTTAGGTACTTAACTAAAGTGCCTAAACTGATTCCAGTTCCCCTAAGTTCTCTTTATAAAGACTGAAGAGGGAGAAACGGGCAGAATCACCTCTGGAGGTACCTACTTCTGCCAAGAAATAAGAGCCCAGGCCCATTAGACCAGAAGGAAAACTAATTAATGGCTAATCAACCCAGGATGGTCCAGCTATAATATCGCACATTTTTGCTCCTTGTAGAATGTTTATTAATGGCAGATCTCTTTTACAGGAAAAAGATGCCACCTCTTATTTTGAAAAGGGAAATAAAAAAACAGGAAGATTTAGTGGCTTATTCACAATATTGTTCAGACTACTGAACGTGGCCAAGAAACAGAATCCAGGCTGTTTTATTTCTGTGTCAGCACTGCATTTAAACTGATTTACAGTGTATTTCTTTTTTTCTAAAACAAGATATTTCTATTACTCCAGAAAATAAAGCAAGATTTTTTCATACGCTAATAAACACCACAATTCATCAACATAAAAAGCACTCAGTAAGAAAATACTGCTTCCCTGGCTTAAGAGACCCAGCTCTCGCAATACCAAAATATTGCAATTACCCTATAGCAGATGTGCCACCCTCTCTGTTCACTTACTTCTTCTATAACCTCACTATGCTATGGAAAAGGACACTAATACTGAAAGTTGAGGTGGTCGGAAAAGACAGAGAAGGTAGACAGAGACACGAACACCGACATTCTGTGTTTCAACTAAATTCACTAACAAAATTTTGCATCGCTACCTTGGGGCGGACGTACTCTTTTACAAGCATGCATGATCATGACAATGCGCTAGTTAAGCTCTCTGGAAAACATCCATTATTTTAAAGGTAGGGTGAACTTTAATGGCTTCTACAAGTAGTAATGACATATTCAAGCTCTCTCGTCAACAACACTCAGATTTCTGTTTAACTTACTCTTGACATCCTCCAACAATTCCTATACGTCCATCTTGACCTTTATGCCTTTTTCCTGTTAGAGGAGGGATAACATTGCGCACCAGTTGAAAAATATTCTCCATATCCTTTAGAGAGTGTGTTTTGTGCAGTGAAAAAGATCTCTCTATAACTGAAAAAAGAAAAAAGTGTTGCATTAAAATATGTTCTTTCTTAAACTAACATCAGCATTTCTTTCAAGCACTCAAACATTAATAAAAATCACTCGGTACATGAACGGATACACTTCTAAAAACAGATACCTTATCACTTAAAGGCCTTTAAAACACTGAATTACTAGGGAAGGTGATCATTTTTAAAAATGAATTTGGGCTCTGTTACAGAAAACATTCCCATTGACTGCTCATGGTCCTAATGTAGGGCTCAGGTACAGAAAGAAAGAAACAGCCCAGAACAGTTACACGGACATTTTGTAACTGGAAATACCTTCTGAGTTCAGTTTGAAATCACTTCCATAATTAAGCTCAGCTGAAATAGGTACGCTCAGCAAGGACTAAATGCATCCAGACAGGGAGCGAGCACAGAACAACTGAAAGCGCATTTTAAGCTTATACCCTACCTTATTTTCACTTCCCTTTCAAGACTTCCACAGCTTAGTAGAGTCAGGGCCTATCTCACTGCTTTTTATTTTGGCAGATGGTTACAAAGCATAATGAAAGTCTTTCTGTAAAACTACAATCACATGCACTAGATGCAAACATCACAGAAATCACACAAACATAATTTTAGCTATAATTCAACTACAGATCTCTGATGTGAAGTTACATTTCAAGCTATATATTAAAACAACTGCAGATTCAGAGGGCTATACATTCAAATTACTGTTTCCAAAGACTATGAAAATCTAGAAGAAAGTATTTCAACAGCTACAACTACAGAGATTTAAACAAGCGGTTTACCTAAGAACGGGACAAATTTGAAGAGCAGTACCTTACACCAATGAAGCATTAATTAGAAATTGCAGTAAGTGTACTAAAAGAATAAATTCTTATCCTTGTACTTCAACAAACTTATTAATTGTATGATTCTGTTCAGAAAAGTGGTTTGTCTGAATGTTAATATTCAACTCCGAAACTGTAGTTATGCTTTCTTTTCTTCTTCATACAGATTTTCTAAAAATCTTTCTATGAACTGCTGAATATTAATACAGATTTATGCAAAAAATAAACCCCACAATATCCCTTTTCAGTTGTGTAAGACTTAGTAGACCCCTCCCCTCAAATCTAGAAAGGAAAAAAGAAGAGAAAAAACAATGCAAAACAATCTGGATGTAATAATGAAAAAAAAAAAAAGAGGTAATCAACAAGAAAACTCCTCATCTGTGCACTCTTAGCAGAAAGCATCTTTTTCTCCATTCTCGACAAAATCTAAACCTGAATCAGACACGCTAATCTTCAGTAATAAAATGCCTTAGTGTATACTCCTCGCTGATCTTTTGCTTTTAAAAATCCTTCTATAATACAGGCATTCTGTTCCTATTGAGATTAAAAAAAAATGTTTTGGAATATGGCCAAAATAGCATTGCAGTGATCCAGAGCAGAACAAAACACTCATCTGCTCTGGAAATAGGGCAGATTATTTTCCTTAAATCATACTTCACACATTCACTGGTTTTCAACCATACAAAAAAATATACATCTGATACACTTTGCAACCCTTGAAGTGCAACCGCTGCTAAGAAAAGACCTCTGTTTCTTTGTTGCTGATTTTTGTTCATTTGTAAATATTAAACTGATCATTTTTAAAAAAAAAAAAAGGAAAGAAAACCAAGAATTATACAAAACAGAATTCTAAATAGACCCCCACTTACTTACAGAAACACTGAGGCAGATTTAGCTATCAACAACTGATATCCTAATTCCTTAACAGAAGACGCATTGCCTGAAGTGTCACTTTTTACACTTAACTAACAACTCTATTTGTTCATCCTTCACCAGTCAGAAGATTAGAACCTGAGTTTTTCTTACTACAGTTAAATATATATCTAATGCATTTTGCACAGTGTAATATCATAACTGTGCATCTGTATAACAAATTATAGCACGAGAAACAATCAATACCTTATTTTCAAGCTCTTACAGATAATAAAGCTCTTTCAACTTTCAGCACGAAACATTTTAGAAGTAATGGTAAGGTACCATCATCTCAGTCTGGAACCTCAAATAATTTCCTAACGGATTTTCTAAAGCACTTCAGTTTTCCTTTAATTTAAAAGTGAAAACAGTAACTAAAGTATAGACCCTGCACGTAAATGCCGTCATTTATCTATTGAAGTCTTTTGACATCAAAGAATACTACAGAGTAGCTATCCAAATAAGAAGATGCACAAGTCAGTCAGTTAACCTAAACCCTTACAGGCCTAAAAATTCAGTCTACTCTTCACTTTAAAGGGAAATTCAGGAATACTTAATGTAGAACTGAGAACGTTCTGAGATCTGTTCAGTAATCAGAGAATACCCTTTAGGGTCTGACGTGTAGGATTATTATTCAGCATCGTAGGATTTTTTCTTCTTTCTTTTTGACTCATACTAGTTTTCTTCCCCTTTTTTTTAATGCAATATGAAATTCAGAATTAAAACAGAAGATGACTTGTCTCATTTCAACACGGCAGGCTACAACCATTAAACCCTGAGTGGACTCTCGTTTCAGCACTGATAGAGTACCCCTGTTCTGCTCTTGCCCCTTCAGCCTACCTTCACATATAAACAGATAAAGATAAATAACACAGAACCACAAATCTTCAGCAAGAATTCTGTTAAGGACTGCTAATACCTGATTATCAGCTTCAGGCCCACACATAACGTACAGAAGAAAAAGTCTGTGCATAAATACCAATTCCAGAGTTCTTGCTTTGGTTTTGTTTTTTTTTTTCCCCCTCCAGAAGAAATTCAGACCCCCAAAGAATTTATAAGTGAACTAGTACAAAATAAAAATATATCCAAATATTTTCCTCTTACACTATGCCTACTAAAGTAATATGATGTACAATTAAAAGATAAGATTCAGAACATTCACGTAAATAAATTTATTTTAAAGAAGCTGTTTTTTTTAACATGTGACTTACTTCAGTGTAGGCAAAATTCCACTCTTTTCCCAACCCTGAAAAAACACATGCACATCCTTAACTTCACATACTGAGTTAGGCCTGTAAACTTCAACAGCAGCAGAATTTCTGCTACAAAATAACTAATGTCTCCAGGTCACATTTCCAGCATATGCTCTACTTGCCTTTTATATATAAAACTTCTCCTAACTTCCGTTTACAGAGACGTGAATGTGCAGAGAAATCCCCAATGTTTATAGGGTACTTTCAGAAGTGTTATTTCGCTCATTAAAATTTGCTATAACTAACATAGCTATATTAAATAGTCAGTACAATGGTACGAATGACATTTTAATTTCATTTTACATCAGACAGACACCTTCACCACAATATTAAATAATTCCAACTACCTTTTATTTTAAAAGCTACTTACTACCAGAACTTTCACATAAAACTTAAAAAAATTAGCTTTTATTTAGGCTATAGAAGGAAATACCTATCGGTGGAGAAAGTGCTGCTGTCATAGCATTATAATTAAAGTTATCCCCATATGAACGATGGTTTGCTCTCTGAGGTGGACTCGCTGGCATAGATTGTGACCTTTGTGATACTGTAGAAGAAATTCCTGCCAACATCTGTCCCAACATTTGTAACATCTGGAGCTCTCTAGCATGCTCAGCTTCACGACGCTTGTCCTCAATTTTGAGCCTCTGCTCTTCATATCTGTAAAACTTCTCTTCTGTATCCACACTCTGCTGCAGGAATTTTTCCATCATTTTATCCAATGTTAAATTTGCATGGCGTTTTTTTGATCTTTTGGGCTGATTGAGAGGCGGGGTAATAGTTGGGGCACTGATTTCTTTAAAGCCTAAAACAAGAGGAGATAGAATTATTTTTTTAAAGCGCTAAGAAGAAAGCCGCAAAAAAATCTCCCCGTGAGATTTGGACCTAACGTGTCGCAAAGTTATTTTTCTTCAATGGGAAGGGCAATTATTTCAGATGTTTTCACTTCAAGTGCCAAAGTACAGGCACAAGCTTCAACAAAGTTACAAGGGTAACACAAAAACCACACAGAGGCGTCTTTTAATTGCTGCAGTACTAAACTTCAACAATAGGAGTCCTTTTGATCTTCTAAAAAGGTTTAAGTGAAGGCTATTAAATAGCATAGCCTCGTTTGTGTATTGCAGGTAATTACATTAATCTAAATTGAGTTTCAGTCTGCTGGCATTCTGGATTTGCATTTCAAAAGAACATTAGTGTAAACAACTCTTTGATGAGGTTCATGCGTAAAAAGAAGGTGGTTAAGCGTCAACCAATTGGCTGATTCCTCAGTGATGTCAACTTCTGAAGACAGGTTCATATTTGGATTGAAAACATAGCATTAATCTAGATTTAAAACAAACAAATAACAGCGCTCCTCCATCTCCACAATGCATATGGGACTGAGGGTGAAGACCAACAAGGGACTAGTGTCTGCAAGCCTGCTAAAGTTAGAAACACTGTTTTTGAAACAACTCGAGCAATTAATTGCATAAACGCTATCCCCTAGCTTTCCGGTCCATCCCCATCAAGCAGCAGATTTTTAAGGTATTATCACGAGCATCATACCGATTAGCAATACGGCACGTAATCTAAAGGGGACGGAAAAAATCCTTCGGCCAGAAGGGCGCTGATTTTCTGCAAGGGCGCTACCTGACGCTATCTCTGCGCCAGCTTGCAATTGGTTTCCCACTGACGGACACCAGTGAAAACTGCC